ACGGTCTAACATCTCTAGTAGGAGTAATCAAGCTACCGACAAGTGCATGGAGATAGGGTCGCATACGCTGAGAGCGAGCTGTTGCCGTTGAATTTGGAGCCATTGCAGCCATCTTCACAGTCGACTTCGTGCGAGCAACTTCCTCATCGGGCCACCGTGCCTTTCGACCGCACCGGTCCCATCAACAGAATCTCATCTTAGGTTTCGCCCGCCTAGCACGGTTCTCATTCGTAGTTTCTCCGATGAAGATTCCGCTCGACTTCTCCGATACAAATGGCTCTGGAGCAGCATAGGGTACGATTTAGTTCTTACGTGGTCCCATCCGACTATATAATACCTCCCGTAGCTGCATTTGATGCGCTGGCTACACTTTTGGTAACCATTCGCGTTCTTTTGCTCTATCACAGCGGTTCTGATCCATGAGGTGAGCCTTCATGGCCGTACTTTGTAGTACGACTCACTTATGCACTGTGTTTAGATCTCTCTCTGGGAAGAAACTTCTTGGAGCTCTTCTCTCCTTCGGTATATTGGAGTCGGTAGCACAGAACGGCTATGTTGTCCCCGCCGGCTCTCGTGAGTTCTATGTCTACCCTGCTGTGGATCTGCTAAAACAATCCGTATCTTTTAGCCGGATTCTATCATGGAAACTCGTCTGCTAGTGTGACATTTGACCAATATTCACTCTTTCTCGACAATGAGGTCAGACCGAGGCTATCCCTTCCCCTATCATTTGCCTAACTTTTGCCTTCATAGCGTGCACTCTTTTTATCTGGAGAATTCCATCCCTATCGCTTGCCCTCTCAAGCCTTATGGAAGGAAGTTTTGCAAAAGTAAGTTAATATCTTGTTTAATATTATATGCTGACATTCTCGATAGATATAAGGTCTGTTCTCAAGACCCACGGTCTTTATATGTTCCACTCATGATCCTTAGGCGGCTGGATTGAATGGAGTTTCCGTATATTGTAAGGCTTTCATCGACGTTGTTACCCCATAATTGTTCATCAAGTGAATAGGGCATTGGGGTCTTACCAGTCCTCGCCAGGGCGTCAATCGATGGACGAATCATAACGATATTGCGAAATTCCTCGAGGTTGCCAAGGAAGTCGGGTTGCTTGTCATCGTAAGTGAAACCCTCATTCTATTCAGCGATCCACATCTGAGACCGTATAGGCTCGTCCAGGACCTTATATCAATGCAGAATCATCTGGCGGTACGTCTACCGGGAACACGTGTGTTGGCTTATCTCATCATGGTTTATCGTAGGTGGTCTACCTGCCTGGCTTGGAAATGTTCCGGTCCTAGCAAGAACCAATGCTACGGCATTCAGGGATGCCTGGCATCCATAGTATGTGTGGTCACTCTTCTTCGCATATATTATGTTAAATTACCCTACAGCATCACGGAATTCGCTAAATTATCAGCACCCTACCAAGTGAGTTCTCCTATTGTGCTTCTCAACTCGGACTCATTTTTCTCCAGTACCCTAATGGCCCTCTCATTGGTTCGTATAGAGTTTGACTGTATGATGCGAGGCTTATGCCAAGAATAGGGATTCAGGCAGAAAATGAGTTCGGTACGAGTGAATACTACAACACTCCTGGCCTTGAGGAATATATGCAAGACGTGATCGATACACTCCGTGCAGGTGGTTTAAACAAAATTCCAACGTACGTTGGATTTTCCTAGAAAAGCTTGTCTTCGCTTATCAAGTCCCTAGAACCCATAACGACAACTGGCCAAAGGGAGCCTATGGTCTTCCTGGACTTGGCCAGGTAGATTTATATGGTTGGGATGGATATCCTGCGCTCTTCGACTGTTTCCATCCAGATGTGTGGCCCGAAACCGATACCTGTAAGTTGAAGATTCATCTCAGTTTGCAGTTTGGAAAGAGCTTGAACTCGAATAGCGCTCCATGCAAACCACGTCAGGCTTGCACCCGCGGTCCCCTTGGCCTTGTATGAGTGGCAAGGTCAGTATTGTGATCTATTTTATACTTGATCTCACCTACAGATAGGCGGTGGTTTCGACTA